GTACATTGTCAATCTAGTAAAATAGAAGTATAATATAGCTTTGAAATAATATAATCTGTGAAGTATAAATAGTTTGTGTGTGATTGCTTTAATGGAAGTATATAATACATAAATATTAATTTTATTGAGAATAAGCGATTATAATTTAAACTATGGAGTACAAACGATTGAAACATGAATCGTCGACCATTCCAACAAAATATAACAAGACATTGTATATGTGTTATTTGGTCCACTAAGTTTTTGCAAAAAAAAAAAAAAAACAGTACAGTGGGGTCGGGGCATAGTGGGGACGGAGCATAGTTGGGTCGGGGCATATTGGGGACGGGGAGGTCACAGGTTTACAGGAATTTTTAAATCTGAAAGTGATAAAATCACTTTCGAAAAAACGCTTCGATGCAAATCGGTAGTTAGTATTTTCAAGCCAGTACAGTCCAAACCAAGCACAGTATAAACCAGCAAAGTTAGAAAGTTTTAAATGAAGGTTCTGTATTTACAAATGAGCATCAAAGCGTTTATTTGAAAGCGATTTTATTCAATTTTATCACTTTTATTTATAATAATTCTTGTAGACCTGTGACCTCTCCGTTTCCTCATTGCTTTGATTACATTATGCCAATACTCTACTGTACTAGTCCTCTCGGATAAAATCACTTTCAAATTAACGCTTTGATGCTCATTTGTAAATACAGAACCTTCATTTAAAACTTTCTAACTTTGCTGGTTTATACTGTGCTTGGTTTGGACTGTACTGGCTTGAAAATACTAACTACCGATTTGCATCGAAGCGTTTTTTCGAAAGTGATTTTATCACTTTCAGATTTAAAAATTCCTGTAAACCTGTGACCTCCCCGTCCCCAATATGCCCCGACCCAACTATGCTCCGTCCCCACTATGCCCCGACCCCACTGTACTGTTTTTTAAATATATATATATACATTTTTTTGGAACATCAAAAGAAACTTCTTTTTTTTTTCAAGGCCTATGAATTGGGGTTAGTTAAAAAGGCCAGCACAGTTGGGTCAGGGCATAGTGGGGACAGAGAGGTCACAGGTCTACAGATTTTATTATAATTGAAAGTGATAAAATCACTTTTAAATAAACGCTTCGATGCGAATCTGTGGATAGTATGTTCAAACCAGTTATAGGAGTTTATAAGGTATCGTGGGACCAGCAATAATTTATATTGCTATAAATATTTCATATTTGATTTTCTCATCGAAAATTTTATGAAGAAGGGGTATATGTGCAAACACCTTGTTTTATTCAATCATGGTTACTACCCCATCAGTTTTGACTGGTATTACCCCTATCAGACTTTTTTTTAAATGCATGTATTTACTTGAAAGCTGTTATATTTAGTTGTAATATGAAGAAATAAATGCAATCCTTACCAGTTTGTTATATATTGGAAACAGACAAAATAGTAAAACATTAGAAATTCTTAATTTGAGATGAGTTTTATTTTGGAAAAATATTATAAGAAAAGTGATATGAAAATTGGTAATTAATTTTTGGTGAGAAAAAAGTTGTTTGTTATTTTGAAACATCTAGTATTACGTTCTGGTTACAACAGTTATCTAATTATGTGCTTATCTAAATTTTAGTTATCATATTTTAAGAGATAATCCATTGGCCGGTATTACCACTGACTGGTATTCCTCCATTCTCCCTTACTCTTATTATAGGGGCTCAATAAATGTCTAGTTAAAAAAAAATATAAAATGTTGTTCCAACAAATATTTATTATACAATTCTAGTTGAAAATTTTAATTTTCCTTTTTAAATCATTGATAAGTAATTTATTTAAAACTCATGTGTCGAAAAATATTTAAATGAATATAAGATACATTATAAAACAGAACGTTCATGTTTCTACCGTTACAATATTTGCTAAATTGTAGTATAGCATATGATATGTGGAGCAAATTATTAAGTATCTACGAGCAAAAATCTGAAGCAGGTATACATTTATTACAAAATAAATTTTCAGTTATGTAAAAGAGCCTTCAGATGACATTTCGACGCATATCAGCAAACTACAGAGTCTTCAAAACCAACTTGCTCTTTCGGGAGAGAAAATCTCTGATAATATGTTGCTAACTAAAATTCTTATGACTTTACCGCCATCTTATAAACATATTTACAGTGCATGGGACAATATACCTCAAGCAAGTAAAAATTTTAATGAACTTACATCTCGGTTGCTAATAGAAGACTCAAGAATGTCTCAAGGAAGTTCAGAGGTTGAAGCAGAGGAATCCAATGCTTTGACTGTCAAAAGATTTCAAAAGAAAATTTTAAGAAGAGTGGTGGTAATGTTGGTAATGAACGTAATTTTAGTAATAATAATACTAAAAAGATAGACCCCTGTTTTTGATGCAAGAAACTAGGTCATCTCAAGAAAGACTGCAGGAACTATCAAAAGTACCAGAAGGATCAGGGTGAGGCAAAACCGGATTCGCCAAGTACAAGTTTAACAGGTCAAGCGTTCTATAGTGAACTTGTATTACTGATCGCAAAGAGAATCAATGGTATTTGGATTCAGGAGCTACTGAACACATGACAAGCAACAGAGAGTGGTTTGTGAACTATAAAAAATTCAGGTCATTAGTGAAAATAAGGATTAGCGATGGTACGAATTTACAGGCAGAAGGTTCGGGTAGTATAAACATAATATGTTATGTGGGAAATAACATGAATAAAAATTTTTTGTGTAATGTGTTATATGTACCAAATTTAAAGTATAACTTATTTAGTACGGAAAAGGCATTAGATAAAGGTTTGAAGATGGAATCAGACAGTAAGAAATGTGTTTTCTTGAAAAACTATGAAGTCGTTTGCACTAGTGAACGCAAAAACGGGTTATACAATATGAACATTGAGATTTTACAGCAAATAGCCGACGACGTGACATTGACCGACCAAGGTAACGGGCAAATGGAAGTAAAAGCAGCGGTCGCATGTTCCATTCACTTTTGACATGAGTGCCTTGGCCATCAATGTAAACAGTACGTAAAATCATGTTTGCTTAAACATAATATAAATGTAAGCGGTGATTGGAACAAGTTTTTTTGCGGTGACTGTGTGATTGGGAAGTAACCGAGAAAGCCATTTCAGAGTCATTCGACTACATCAAGTGAAACCGGAGAGTTAATTTATCCAGATTTATGTGGTCCAATGCAGCAAAAATCTTTGGATCATTCCCAATATTTTTTTAATGTTCAAGGATGATTATACGCATTATCGGACGGTCTTTTATTTGAGAAATAAAAATGAGGTCAAAAATAAAATAGAGTTATTTATTCGATCTGTTAAAAATGATTCTGGAAATGAAGTAAAAGCTATTAGAACTGACAATGGTTTAGAGTTTGTTTCTCGAGATGTAACAAGTATTTTGCAGAAATATGGCATTCGACATGAAAAAACAATAGCGTACACACCAGAGCAAAATTCTGGGGCGGATCGAGAAATGAGAACTATTGTGGAAGCAGCACGTACATTGATTTATTCAAAGAACATGGACTTATCATTTTGGGCAGAAGCAGTTAATACATCAGTACATTACATGTAAAGTTGTTATTTTATTCATTCTCACAGAAAAATAATGTTCATTGACAAAAAATACTGTGAAACATTGAAAACAACAGTTGCAAAATGTTATAAAAGCAAATAGTAGTATATCGACTTGCACCGAATAAAAAAATTCATTTTTTTTTTTATATTTCGGTATTCAAGGCCTTTGTACACATAAGAACTATTACAACAACAACAGCAAAAAACGCAAAAACAATTTAGTACTACCTAAAATTAATAGATTTTGAATTCAAACTTATGCATCGATAAAATATTTGTTTAAAATTTTACCTTATAATGTAAATTGTTCAAATTAAAAAAAAGTAGTAGTCCAGTAAAATGATACCCATGTACAAAATAAAAATTTAACTAGAAAGTTAGTGTGTGAATTAAAAATATAAGGGATTAAGAAAAGTCGTTTATTAATAAATACATTTGTGTGAAGTCAAAGTTTGTTGGTCGAAAGAGGTTATGTACAAATAATAAATACTATGCGATTTTGTATTAACAATAAAATATATTATGGTTACTGGTCACTCGATTATTCCGTGGTTAATGGTGTATAGTTTAGATACTAGATTGTCATCCGAGATAATCAGCTAATAACTAGCTCCGGTTAGATTAGGTTAAAGTGTAATGTTCGTTATATGTAACAACGTAATACCTTTCGTGTCTAATAATGGGTGGTTATTTATTATACTGATTATGATATGGAATGCGCTAACATAAAATTATTATTATATTTTATGTGATGACTGAAGTAATAAAACTACTTGTCTTTGTTGAATCGAATGAAATTATTAAACAAGATTCCACCCGGAACGACAAACAAGATTGTGAGATCATAAAAACGTTATAAAAATATAGACAAAAATTCAAATCTTTACAAAGTCATATACAGCGAACCAATGGAGGAAAATTTAAAATTCAAACGCTAACATTCTTTTAGATTTTTTGTCTATATATTTATGGATTTTAAATCATATGTTCCCATTTGAAAAAACGAGGTTCGTACTCTGAGCTGGACCTTCTCATCACGTGCCCAAACCATTTTATTCTCTGTGCTTTCACAAAGTTGGTTATCCTTGGTACTCCTGTCAATTCTCGGGTCTCTTTGTTCATTCTTCTGCGCCAGCATCCCAGTTCGTTATCGTATACTGGGCCGCAGATGATTCTCAGCATTTTGTTTTCGTACGACATAAGTTTTTGTTCCATTCTGCTTGTTAAAGGCCATACCACACATCCATATATTAGCGTTGGTCTAATTATCGCCGTGTAGAGATGTACTTTGGTTCTTCTAGAAACCAGTTTAGATTTTAGGTATTTGGTTAACGAAAATGATGCCTTTTCTGCCTTGATGATTCGGCTATTTAATTCGACGGACCAGTCATTATTACCACTGATAGAGGCCCCAGATATGTAAATTAATGCACTTTTTCAAATGTACGTCCTTGAATCACTACATTGCCGACCTGGTTGTTTTCTGGTAATAGCTCCATCACTTTAGTTTTATTATCATTTACATTCAGCCCTATGGTTTTTGCTTCGTTAATGAGGGCTACGGTGCTCTGCGCCACACTCTCCCCATCGTCACCAACTATATTCAAATCATCTGCTAAACCTAAAATACCAATCTTGTTTGTGCCGATGTCGATACCTTTGTATACTCCGTACGACTTTCTTCAGTGCAATATTGAACAGTAGTGGTGAAAGAGCGTCACCTTGCTTTAAGCCTGTTATCAGTTGTTACATTATTTACAATAATGTATTTGTAAAATTTTATAATAAATTACCTGTAGTCATTACTAAAACAATAAATGACAAAACCACTATTCTGATAAGACTTTCTTTGAACGCCATCCATAAAATCCGCTATTGCTCTGGGGAAAAAATTATACTTTGAAACGATATGGTTTCTACGGTTCGAGTGCGACTTAAAACGGTGTAACGTACTTTACAGTGAAATTCGCCACTGAAATATTATTTATTTAAAGAAACCGCGAAAACAATTTTATTATTTGTACCGACCAAACTTTTATGCGAAAACAAGTCGTGTCCATTGAGTACAGGGTGATTATACATGCAGATACATATTTTACTATATTTTTCAGTACTTAAAACATTTTTATCTTCATATCTTATACGTAATATAAGTGTGCACTCGGAAAAGTTAGTACGATTCTACATAATATTAAAAAAAAGCTAGTGTTCGTTGCTGCTTGTTTGAAATTTATGGTAATTTTTTTTTCTCAATTTAAAGACACCCGTTATAAAGTTTTGTCGATGGCAGTCTGCGAAGGCTGGAAGTCTATGCCGACGGCATAATTGGGGACTGTCAAAGCGGCTTTATGAGAGGGAAATCCGCCACATACCCCATTTTTATTATCAGACAATTGTTAGAAGAGTACTATGAGTATGGTAGAGAAGTGCATCTTTGCTTTGTGGACTTTAAACAGGCGTACGATAGTATTATGAGAAAAAAATTATGGTCAGCACTGGAAGAATTTGGTATACCGACCAAATTACTCCAGCTAATAAAAGAGAGCAATACCGATACATACTGTAAAGTAAAAGTTCCGAATAAACTGTCAGAAAGTTTCGAAGTTAGAGCTGACCTAGGATAGGGAGATGCGCTTTCCCCTGTACTTTTCAATCTAGCGTTAGAAATTAGATCTCTCCCCGTTAGACAAATGATGGAAATTCTGGAAAGAAGAAGGAGAAGAATATCAAATAAAATGTCTAGAAGTTAGACTTGGTTAATAACCAAGTGTCGGGCTTCAGTGTTTGAAGTTTAATCGCTAGAAGTACACGCGGCATGAAACATTAAAGGTATATAATATGCGCAAGTGCTTAAGGTGTGGTGGTATATCAAAGTATGAGTATTATAAGTCCAGGGTGTAAAACTGAAATAATTACAATAGCACAACATGTGTAATGTATTATGTTATTAAAATAAATTACCTAGATAATATAGTATAGTTGTTTCTTTTTAGGGAGGAATGAACACATACAATTTTTTTGTCAATAATGTATACAAATTTAAAGCACACAATGTAGCTCGAGGAGTAAATAATTAAAAATTTTAAGATATTTTTGATCGAAATATATGATTATTTTAATAATAATTAAACTATTTAAATTTATTCATATATTAATTTTTTTTTATAGATAACTAAATACTTGTTTACAAAATATTTTAAAATAAAAACAGAATTGCATACATTATAAGTATTTATTTATAAGAAATAAACCAAAAATATTTCAATAACGTCCATGTCTACAGGATTAAAAATAAGTAAAATAGTTATGTGTAATCATTTTAAAATAAAGTATAGGTAGTTTAAACTTTTATAAAAACTATTAGCTTTTTTTAGTGTGCGTTCATATAGCTAACCTACAATACTTAAATTTTACAGTAATGCTGCAAATTAAATTATTGAAATTTTCAAAGGAAAAAATTTTAACCACAAATAAAGTCACATATTATATAATTTTCGAAACATAAAATAGATAGGTACCCCATAGAAGAATTTTTTTTTAATTTATAAATGAATTATAAGTGTTAAAAGTTGTAGACAAATGACGAAAAATATTTTTTGGTAAATATAAGTATAGGGTGGAGAGAATAATTATTAAGATAAAAAGCGCAAATGAGTATAAATGATTTAAAAATTAAGTATACTATTTAGAACGGGATAGTTATTATAAGTAAACAAAAAAGGCTTTAACTATAAAATACTTTTTTTTTAATGAGTTAATCTCACAGGAGCTTTTTCGGAACAAATAGGTTTTAATTGTTTTGCATTTATTTTAGTCAGCGAGTAATGTCTGATTTTTGGCTGGTCAACTTTAATAGGAATTAAAAAATCAAAGCACAATCAAATTAATATATGTAGTAGGTATAATTATATGACGTATAAATACATTATGTTATGACATCAATTAAATATTTTAATCAAGAAAATTATTCATAATGTTAAGTGCATGGTCATTTGAACGAAAACATAATTGCATGAAATTTATTACATAACAAAAAATGTGAAAACTTGATTTTAAACAATTTATGCATAATATATATTTTAAAACAAAAATTATTCGCGTAACGCATAAAAGATAATTAGAATTTTGAACAAGCAACATAAAAATGTAAGATATAAATAAAAAAATCATAATCACAATAATATTATGTATTATTTCATAGTGAAAATATGTTTTTTTTTTTAAATTGAGTAAGATGAATTACAGATCAGCATACTGTAGTTAAAAAGTATGAAATTATAGCACAAAACTAATTATACAAGACTTCAAGTAATTATTCACATCTGACATATTTTATACTATGGAACAGATAATGCCATCTAAAAAAATAATATCGTATCAATTTGATTTCAATGTTTTTAGCTAGGTTTTTACTTAATTTTTTTTTGTAATGATATAAAAAATAGTTTTTATAATAAAATATGATTAAATTTTATAAAAGTACAATAATTTTAGTATACTCACTAGCTAGCACTGAAATTAAAACAAATGTTTTTTAAATAATTTTTTTATAGTAAATTATTAAATTTGATAAAAGTAAAACAATTTTAGTATACTCACATTGGTCACAAGCTGAAATCAAAACAAACGTTTTTAAACAATTTTCAACTATAAATAAATAAATATGATAAAAATAAAATCAATTTAGTGTACTCACCTTTGCAACCTGAAATTAAAAGAAATGTTTTTTTAATAATATTTTTGAATAATAAAGGATTAAATTTGATAAAAGTACAACGATTTTAGTATACTCACATTCTTTGCAAGCTGAAATTTAAACAAATGTTTTTTTTTTTTTTAAATATTTGTTTAATAATCAATTATTAAATTTCATATAAGTATAGAAGTTTAGTATACTTACGCACACAACCTGAAATTAAAACAAATGTTTGTTTTAAATATTTTTTGATAGTATATTATTAAATTTGATAAAAGTAATATAAGTTAAGTATACTCACACGGACAAGCTGAAATTAAAACAAATTCATTTTTTTAATAACTAATGAAATATTTACAACATATTATAAAAAAATCCAAATTTAAAATAATATTTAATGCCTAAATGTATATAGACTATTTAACTATGACCCACTCAATAACTAAGAAGAAATTAGATTTTTTTATTCTTTTTATACTTTTATGAGTTTATAAGTTGGGACAAATTCATTATATTTTTAAAAAATATAACCCTATCCCTTATATGTTAAAATCATAAAAACTTGGGGTTTTTAAAGGCAACTAATATATTTGATTAACTTATTAAATTAAGAATAATTTGCTGAACATTGTGATTGGTTGATAACCGTTTAGATAATTATCTTCAAAGTTATATAAGTTTAAAATTTAGGGCGGAAGGAAGGACAGAGATCAGATATATTTTTATCTGAGCGCATTCACTTAACCGCACTTCCCCTCCAGTTTAACATGTAAACTACAATAACTTTTATACTAATTATCCAAAACTGGTTAGCGACCAGTCTCAAAATGTTCAGCAAATTATTTAAAAAGTTTGTCAAAGTATTTGATGAATTAAATATACAATAGAATAACGTAAAATATTTTGAGAAAATTGCAAAATTAACCTAAATAATTTTTTACCTATCTGTGTAAACGTATACATACCTTCATCATCACGTGCTAGAAAATGATAAATTTATAACAATCAATAAAATTAATACCAGGCACAGTCGGGTTAATTATTATTTAATTATCTGCCATAAATTTATACATACCATCAGTTTTTATATCTAGAAAATAATATTCAATTAATTACATTTTGGACACAGTAACTTATTATGTGATTATTTATTTAACTTTTACTAGTCCAACACTGTATAGTAAAATATTTGTAAGAAATACTTTTTTATAAATCAATTTTTTAAGACATATAAATAATAGTATATTTTTATTAATTACTTGGCAATCTCAAAATAGTTTGGCCTGTAGCTTTTAACCCTTCGAATCCTTTTATATATTGCTTATTCACTGTTATTCCTCCCATTGAGTCGTACTTGATTTTTATATTCTCGTATCCATTGTCTGGTGTAACTGATTTGTTATTGATCACCAGTCTATCTTTACCATTCCATCTAATGTTTATATCTTGATTTCCGAGTATACCTTTTGGCTGTTCCTCATCGTTGATTATAAGTTTGCATGCTTTAAAGACCACTGGTCCCCCTTGGTTTACTTGCCCCTGTTCTATGTTTTCTTCTACATTTTCTAATTCTCTCCCTGGAAATTTATTTTCATTAGCCGTGAGTACATTGTATTTATATAGAGGGTGATCAATTAAACATAAGACACTCATTTTCTAGGAGAATATTTACAGTCCAAAATAAGTAAGGACTGTACATAGCCACATCGAATTAAAAATTATTGAATATATATAATGTATTGAAAGAAATGCAGAATTCGCCTAAATTGTTATTAACTTATTTACGTAAATGTATACTTACTGCCAGTTTCCGACTCTATAAAATAATATTCAGTTAATTCAATTATAGATACAGTAATGTATATTCATCTACGTAAACGTGTACATACCGAAAGTTTCCATTTCTAGATAATAATAAAGTAAAAACCTTTAATTAATTAAACTTTGGAGACAGTAAGGTTTAATTTTACAATACTATAATAAATGCAAAATTCAACTAAATTATTATTTACTTATCTAATTAAATGTAAAGTTACTATTGGTCAATATAAATAGTAATGTACAGAGCAACAGTGGTGCAATTAGCTGGGGTATAGGGGGGTACTTACAACAGGGCACCCCAATTTAAGAGGTACATATTTTTAGCGACTTCATATTTATGGTACCTATATTAAGATAACGTAACGCCCGCATGTATAAGTAAACATGACTTATTGATTACATTAATTTTTTTATACTTTACTAAGGATAGTGTAGCAAAAATTTGTTATTTTGTTCTAAAAGTTTGAATTTTTTTAAGTATGATATTCATGATAATGATAAAAAGCTCATGTAAAATCAATCACCTATACGTACGGATGTACCTAGTAGTAAATGTATGTATAAATTTTGTTTAGAGAAGTAATGTGCGAGTGATCCCTCTATGGTCATTTGTAAAAACAACGATGTAAACTCCAAGAGCTGAAGGCATCATATTTAGTATTACACCAAGTCACTAGAACACCTAGTTGCGCCACTACATAATAACATTGAATTATAAATTAATTTAAAAAATGATCGAAATAAGTGTATTATTATTAAAAAATAAAAATATTATGTTAATTATAATTTATTATTTTATAAATGTAAACTTACTGACAGCTGGAGGCGGGGTTACTAAAAAGGAATAAAGTTAATAATAAGTCAAAAGGACCAATAAAATAAAATAAATGTATATTTAAACCAAATAAATAACATTGGGTACAAAAAGATATGATAATGAATTAATTTGAAAATGGATAGAAATATATTACATAAATTAGAAAAATTGTTTCCAGAATGATGAAAGACTAAAACTATTATGTAAATGTCTATTTATTATATTGTAAAATATAATGAGGGATGACTAGTCATATATTTTGTCTAATTAATTGTTAATTACTTTAGTAATGATTTAGCTGTAATGGAATTGATAAGAAATTTTAGATCTTCAAAAAAGGATGTCATGACTTTATTTATGTACGATTTTGGTGCAGAAATTGTATTTTTTAAGGGATTACTTCCAAGTCATTTGAGCATGTCTGCTTTTGAGATGTGTTTTCGTTAATATGAGGGTAATCATTTAATGAGTGCTTGTATTGTACATTAGAATTATTATTATTATTTAATTATCTACAGAAAGGTATACATACCGACCGGATATCCTAGTGGTGGTTCTAGAAAATAATACATTTAAAACAATCTAGGGATTTCATTCTGGATAGGTACAGTAATGCATATTTATATATAATTTTATAAAAATTCAAAATTCACTTAAATTATGATTTATAAAAAAAAAACAGAATATTATGTAAATTATCAACTATTCTTTTGTAAATGTAAACATACCGACGGCAGCTGGTTGGGTTACTGAAATTGATCAAAGTTATACAACATAACTATTTGAAAATAAGGTTTTAATTACATCAAAATATAAAATATTACCTGTAACTATTGTTAAAACCAAAAATAACAATACAAACATCCTGATAAAATTTGTTTTAAATGCCATCATTAATAACTGCTTCAAGATTTATTGTTCCAATACCGATATATATATATAGGTCCAAAACAAGATACAGATCTAAAAATCGAAAACAAGTTATATACTACCGTATCAAAACCGTTTAGCATAATGCTCTGCCACTAAAATATTATTTATTTAAAAAAATACAATGTCATTTGTATATTTTATTTTAAAAACAAACATTTAGACGACAACAAAACATGAGCTATATTTTTGTATCCAAAATCTGTTTACTTAATTGAGTGCACTACATTTACACTTAACCTATGGTTTAAATTTTTAAAGATGAACTTGCATCGATATTCGTAGCAGTATTTAAAATTATTTTTTCCTAACATCACGTTAAAACGCAAATATTAAGGTTAATTATCATACTAACGATTATATTTTTGTATTCATAACTTTTAGCTTAAATGACATAAATATTAATGTCATTGCGGGTAAAATATCCATATAATTGATAATTTTTATTTTGTTTTTGATATAATATGCTATATTTTAGCTTCGATGCAAAGCGAGAAGGTATTGGTTTTACTCTGATGTATGTTTTTTTTTTTATCTGTATACACTGTAACTTCTTTAATACTGGACCAATTCCTTCGAATAGCAACTCTATAAATCGCAATTTTCATCTAGTTGGTACTTTGGGGGGGTAAAAGTTGAAAAAGTTTAACTCTTCACAGGCGTAAGTTGAAAAAACAAAAAAAAAAACCGTACGAGTTTTTAAGTTAGAACTTTTACTGGCTATAGCTTCGAGAAAAACAGTCGGATCGAGTTGAAATTTATAAGAAATATTTATTTAGTATGCCCGCGCACGTCAGTTATATCAAATTTGAATTTAACCCAATGCCCACCCCCCTAGGGGGGGTACAGGTTTTTTTGTTTTTCGGGGTTTTTAGCCGTAATTTTAAGACCTTTGGGTTGAAAATTTGCCAGTAGTTGGAACTCATATGTATCCATAACATATTAAACGGAAAAATAATTCGGCACTACAGTTTTTTTTTAATAGCCGGAAAACTGTGTTTTCGCAGATTGCGTATATTTTAACAAAAAACACTTAAAATCTTAAAAAAATTGTTATCAAATCATTAAAACAATTTTATGTAGATCTATGCAGAATGATACTATTGAGTTTTGTGCTCAAGTAACACTTTTGACTTTAAGTTGACACAAAGTTCAATTTTTTTTTTTTTTTACTTAAGTTCTTTCTGGCTGATTAAAATTGAGAACTGATAACAAATTCGTAATCACCGACCCCAAAAACATATAATTTGACCCCTTTTAATGCCTTTTTCACAAAAATCCAGAAAAATGTTTTAGCTTCGATGCAAAGCGAGAAGGTATTGGTTTTACTCTGATGTATGTTTTTTTTTTATCTGTATACACTGTAACTTCTTTAATACTGGACCAATTCCTTCGAATAGCAACTCTATAAATCGCAATTTTCATCTAGTTGGTACTTTGGGGGGGTAAAAGTTGAAAAAGTTTAACTCTTCACAGGCGTAAGTTGAAAAAAACAAAAAAAAAAACGTACGAGTTTTTAAGTTAGAACTTTTACTGGCTATAGCTTCGAGAAAAACAGTCGGATCGAGTTGAAATTTATAAGAAATATTTATTTAGTATGCCCGCGCACGTCAGTTATATCAAATTTGAATTTAACCCAATGCCCACCCCCCTAGGGGGGGTACAGGTTTTTTTGTTTTTCGGGGTTTTTAGCCGTAATTTTAAGACCTTTGGATTGAAAATTTGCCAGTAGTTGGAACTCATATGTATCCATAACATATTAAACGGAAAAATAATTCGGCACTACAGTTTTTTTTTAATAGCCGGAAAACTGTGTTTTCGCAGATTGCGTATATTTTAACAAAAAACACTTAAAATCTTAAAAAAATTGTTATCAAATCATTAAAACAATTTTATGTAGATCTATGCAGAATGATACTATTGAGTTTTGTGCTCAAGTAACACTTTTGACTTTAAGTTGACACAAAGTTCAATTTTTTTTTTTTTTTTACTTAAGTTCTTTCTGGCTGATTAAAATTGAGAACTGATAACAAATTCGTAATCACCGACCCCAAAAACATATAATTTGACCCCTTTTAATGCCTTTTTCACAAAAATCCAGAAAAATGTTTTAGCTTCGATGCAAAGCGAGAAGGTATTGGTTTTACTCTGATGTATGTTTTTTTTTTATCTGTATACACTGTAACTTCTTTAATACTGGACCAATTCCTTCGAATAGCAACTCTATAAATCGCAATTTTCATCTAGTTGGTACTTTGGGGGGGTAAAAGTTGAAAAAGTTTAACTCTTCACAGGCGTAAGTTGAAAAACCAGTACAGTGGGGTCGGTGCATAGTGGGGACGGAGCATAGTTGGGTCGAGGCATAGTGGTGACGGGGAGGTCACAGGTTTACAGGAATTTTTAAATCTGAAAGTGATAAAATCACTTTCGAAAAAACGCTTCGATGCAAATCGGTAGTTAGTATTTTCAAGCCAGTACAGTCCAAACCAAGCACAGTATAAACCAGCAAAGTTAGAAAGTTTTAAATGAAGGTTCTGTATTTACAAATGAGCATCAAAGCGTTTATTTGAAAGTGATTTTAACCGAGAGGACTAGTACAGTAGAGTATTGGCATAATGTAATCAAAGCAATGAGGAAACGGAGAGGTCACAGGTCTACAAGAATTATTATAAGTAAAAGTGATAAAATTGAATAAAATCGCTTTCAAATAAACGCTTTGATGCTCATTTGTAAATACAGAACCTTCATTTAAAACTTTCTAACTTTGCTGGTTTATACTGTGCTTGGTTTGGACTGTACTGGCTTGAAAATACTAACTACCGATTTGCATCGAAGCGTTTTTTCGAAAGTGATTTTATCACTTTCAGATTTAAAAATTCCTGTAAACCTGTGACCTCCCCGTCACCACTATGCCTCGACCCAACTATGCTCCGTCCCCACTATGCACCGACCCCACTGTACTGGTTTTTTTTTTTTTTTGCAAAAACTTAGTGGACCAAATAACACAAATACAATGTCTTGTTATATTTTGTTGGAATGGTCGACGATTCATGTTTCAATCGTTTGTACTCCATAGTTTAAATTATAATCGCTTATTCTCAATAAAATTAATATTTATGTATTATATACTTCCATTATAGCAATCTCACACAAACTATTTATACTTCACAAATTATATTATTTCAAAGCTATATTATACTTCTATTTTACTAGATTGACAATGTACAAAATAAAATGCAACTAAAAAAACCTTTTCATAGATCCTTAAAATGTAAAGGGTGGGTTAGTGAAACGGGTTTTACCATTTAAATACATTAGAAAATCGCCGTTTTACTGCCTCATCCTGTATATTAATTTCTTGTTATTTTCTAAAGAAAAATCGATTTTCTTACATTTAAATTAAAATAAATCGTATACTGGTACTGTGATGGAGAAAACAATAAATTTTACCTACATATATTACTTATTAGTTAAATATTACTAACGTGTATAGCCACTAGCAGTCGGCTGTTGCCTGTTATTTAACAATAACCTTTAATGGAGATTTTAAAAATTGTGTTTTTTTAATGATAGCATAGGAGCAGTGTCATGATGTTAAATGTTTACAAAATTTGATCTAGTCATAAAATAAAGTATTATCATTTATGACTTAATTATTATTAAAATTTATCTTAATAGTAATAGTACATAGTAATAAAAAAATGAAATATTTTTTACAAAATTAGAGCTACAAGTTGATAAACTAAAAAAATAAAATTAGCACGAAGCAGATTATCTAATATTAGACAATTTAAACAATCAAGCGTGAATCTCTTTAAATGAATAACAGTATAACAATATACAAAACATTAGTTTTCCTTTAAAAAAATTGGGTAATAAAAAAAACATTTTGAGTCGGTATACTGCATAAAAACCAACACTTAATCTGAATCCAAAAAACAACACTCCTCTTCATTATTTGCAGGTAGTTGGACATTAAATACTCATAGTTAACCTTCGGTAAGGTTATATAACGCAGGCTATAAAATAACGAGATAACGACAGTGGTTTTGTCGTATCAGAATCATTAAGTGTCTTAATAAGTACACGACCAGGTTTTTTTCACAATAAATCGAGTGTCTACTATAATCAGTTGCTATTCGAAGGAATTGGTCCAGTATTAAAGAAGTTACAGTGTATACAGATAAAAAAAAACATACATCAGAGTAAAACCAATACCTTCTCGCTTTGCATCGAAGCTAAAACATTTTTCTGGATTTTTGTGAAAAAGGCATTAAAAGGGTCAAATTATATGTTTTTGGGGTCGGTGATTACGAATTTGTTATCAGTTCTCAATTTTAATCAGCCAGAAAGAACTTAAGTAAAAAAAAAAAAAAAAGAACTTTGTGTAAACTTTAAGTCAAGAGTGGTACTTGAGCACAAAACCTAATAGTATCATTCTGCATAGATATAAATAAAATTGTTTTAATGATTTGATCAATTTTTTTTAAAGATTTTAGGTGTTTTTGTTGAAATATCATTATCTGCGAAAACACAGTTTCCCGGCAATTAAAAAAAAACTGTAGTGCCGAATTTTTTTCCCGTTTAATATGTTATGGGTACATATGAGTTCCAACTACTGGCAAATTTTCAACCCAAAAGTTTTAAAATTACGGCTAAAAACCCCGAAAAACAAAAAAACTTGTACCCCCCCTAGGGGGGCGGGAAATGGGTATATTTTGAATTTGACAAAACTGACGTGCGCGGGCATAACAAATAAATATTTCTTATACATTTCAACTCGATCCGACTCTTTTTCTCGATACTATAGCCAGTAAAAGTTCTAACTTAAAAACTCGTACGGTTTTTTTTTTGTTTTTTTCAACTTTCGTCTGTGAAGACTTAAACTTTTTCAACTTTTACCCCCCCAAAGTACAAACTAGACAAAATTTGTGATTTATAGAGTTGCTAT